AAAGCTCTTTTAGTGAATGAGTGGGTTGGAGAAAGAGGAGCAGGAGCTGGTTCTGATAAATGATGCTCTTCTTTATTTTTGATCACTTGCGTTTTGACAATAAAATCCAAGCAAAGCTATAATATTGGCTGCCATTCTCTAATCTCCTTTATTTATATACTGGTTTAGAGAAAAGCTGTTGGTAGTATTAGGAGATGGAATGAGAAGGAATGTGTATTCAACTTGCTTCTGGTTTCCTTCTGTCATGTTCTATACAGTGTAAAGTCTACAACCTATGTGCCTCCTATAGGTATGCACCATAAGATGGTGTTTATCTAAGTTATGCTGTCATTTGAAGCTGACAGAGTGATTCTCATTGCATTTACATCTTCACGCCAATCTAAAATGATTTGGGAGCAACCCAAACCCAAGTTCCACCAGAATGGGTGGGTTTTGGAATAGGTGGATCTTTGGCTGAGCCTGGGCTCAGTGAGTGCTACAGAGGGTGGAGTGCCCCACATCCTGATTCAGTCAGAGAAATGCTGGTGTAATTTCTCTATCCTAGCTCAGTTGAAGCCAACTCAGCCAAGGCTGAGATAAATCCTGAAAAAGGGGTGTAGCAGGGGCAGGATGGGGCAATGGGAGATTCACCTCTATTCCAAACTCTGTTCTATCTGGTCACATGACCTAGCAACCCATCAGAATTTAGACTGGCACAAAGGACGCTGTAAATCAAACCTCATTTTAAAGGCTTGTTTTCCCTCTGCCAGGCTCCAGCCAGCTCATTCAGCAGTTACATGACTCTTAAACAGAATTTGGAATAGGGGCATTGAGAGGGACGCAGGTGGCGCTGTGGGTTAAACCACAGAGCCTAGGACTTGCCGATCAGAAGGTCAGCGGTTCAAATCCCTGCGACGGGGTGAGCTCCCGTTGCTCGGTCCCAGCTCCTGCCAACCTAGCAGTTCGAAAGCACATCAAGTGCAAGTAGATAAATAGGTACTGCTCCAGCAGGAAGGTAAACGGCGTTTCCGTGTGCTGCTGTAGTTCGCCAGAAGCGGCTTAGTCATGCTGGCCACATGACCTGGAAGCTGTACGCCAGCTCCCTCGGCCAATAAAGCGAGATGAGTGACGCAACCCCAGAGTCGGTCATGACTGGACCTAATGGTCAGGGGTCCCTTTACCTTTACCTTTACACCAGAATAATTCATCCTGATATAAATTACACTGGTGTCGCGTAGTTTGGATTGGTCTGCCCGAATGTAAAATCAAGTAGCTAAAAGTTACACACAGTGCAACTGAGTTATAGAAAGACTGCTTTGGATTAGCAAGATTGTAACCATGTATGTATTTGGGTTACAAGCCATCTAGAGTTTTAAAAGGTTGTAGCTTTAAAGTTCTAACACACCAGAAAAAAATTGTTTATTTATGCTACAACAGCCGCCTGGATACTGTTAGCCCAAAGGTGGAAAGAGGAAGCAGTCTCAACTAAAGAAGATAGGCAAACCAAGTTAATGGACTACACTGAAATGGCTAAATTAACTGGAAAGCTCAGAAATGAAGATGACAAGAAATTTAAAAATAACCAGAGGACAAAACTGAGGTTGAAGTAAAAGGGAAGGATACTTTCTTCATGGAAACTTCCAGAAATTCTTTTCAGTAAAAAGCCTGACATTTCATTAGCCAGTGGCTTCAAGACAGTACAGTGGTGCCTCACAAGACGAAATTAATCCGTTCCGCGAGTCTCTTCGTCTTGTGGTTTTTTCGTCTTGCGAAGCACGGCTATTAGCGGCTTAGCGGCTATTAACGGCTTAACGGCTTAGCGGCTTTTAATGGCTTAGCGGCTTTAAGAAAAAGGAAACAAACTCGCAAGAACTCGCAAGACGTTTCGTCTTGCAAAGCAAGCCCATAGGGAAATTCGTCTTGCGGAACGACTCAAAAAACGGAAAACTCTTTCGTCTAGCGAGTTTTTCGTCTTGTGAGGCATTCATCTTGCAGGGCACCACTGTAGTAGAAGTAGAAAACAATGGCAGGGAACAGGATGGGGGTAGGAAAATATCCTACCACCATCATATGAAACACATGTACAGTAAATTCAGTTCAACCCCGGATAAAACACAAAGCAGCCATTACACCAATCACCATGACTACTACTGATGCTCTGTGGTTGCTAGGCTTGAATGGAGAGAGCTGATGATGTCACAAAGGTCTAGCTAATCCTCTAAATCTGCAAGAATCTATCTTGTTCCCCTTGTGCATTTCCTGGAGCGTGGGGGGAGAGGATGGTCAATTGGGTCTCTTGTGAAGGCTTGCAGGTTCCCAAACACAGCCCATTACCCTCTTCCTCCCAACTCAGTTTCAAGACAATGCTTCTCCTTGTCTGAACCAGGAAAGAGGTTCATACAACTATGGCATATGCACCTTTGGTATCATTACAGTGGTAAGTACATATTTGATATAGGTATGTTTAATTTTTATGTGCGCCAATCTAAATATCCAGAGCTCAATAACACTCTTCATATTTGTGATTAGGAAGGAATTTTTCCTAAGTTCGGTGAGTACTGATCCAATGGCTATTGCTTGTTCTTGATTTCCTCTTGAGTATGTGATACTGGAATAATTTGCTGTAAAGGTTCTCCCTACTGCAATCTGTGACACGCTGTGGCTCAGTTGTGGGGGTTGATTTATACAGCCCAGTGGTTGGTTGGTTGGTTGGTCGGTTGGTCCTTCACCACAGGTCTGGTTTACATTGCCAGTTGTGGCTACATTCATCAAAAATACATATTATTAATTTTGCACTGGCCATAATCTTTAACTATGGGAAACCTGCCACTGATACATCCAGTAATACCGATAAGAAGCACGCACACTCATAAAAGCAGAGCGAAGAGTTATGTATACAACATATTGAGCCTCAGCTATTACTCTGTTTTAGAGGTTGACAGACAAGTGTGGTGCTGAGAATTATTCCCCTTCTCTAGTAGTTCGAAAGCACATCAGTGCAAGTAGATAAATAGGTACCACTGTGGTGGGAAGGTATATGGTGTTTCCATGCACTCTGGCTTCCGCCATGGTGTTTCATTGTGCCCGAAGCAGTTTAATCTTGCTGGCCACATGACCCGGAAAGCTGTCTCCCTTTGCTTAAACCGAGATGAGCGCCGCACCCCATAGTCACCTTTGACTGGACTTAGACATCCAGGGGTCCTTTACCTTTTACCTTTTTTTAATGCAGCCACTGAGGATGTCTCTCTGGGATGGCATGTCAGCTCAGGAGGCTTTTCGCAGGGTGCCTTCCGACATGAGGTTTATTGTGTTAGTTTTTCTGGTGATAATGCTGGTTTCTAATGTTCCTTTTACACTGTGTAACATGCTGTGTTTTGGAACTCTGTCTTTTTACTGATATACTGCCATGTTGCACTGAATTTCATCCATGCCAGTAGGCGTGATGTGATACAACAGCTGGCCCAGTTGAGCATGTCACCACCCTTTATGAACATGCATGCTTCTGTTCCCCCATGATTTACCCATGAAAACAGTGGGGAAAGAACTGTATGCCGGCATACCACCCCAGGTTTCATCACATGATCCACGGAACCAACAGGGAAAATATGGCACAAACTTCCCACTATTTAATGGGGCTCTAAAGAGACCCTTTCTGAAAGCCATTAAAGCTTAAATGAATGCTAAACTTCTGCAAGATTCCACCTGATTTTCAGAACTCGTTTTTACATAGTTTGTCTTATTAAAGTACAGGGGACAAGCTATGGTAGCCCGACCTGTTCAGGCCTTGTAGATCCAAACCAGCATGCTGAATTTCATCAGTCTGTGGACTTTGCAAAATGTAGAAGTATTTTAAACCAATTATTATGGACCAAATATAGCTGATGTAGAAAAATGCCATGATTGAAGCTATATAATCAGATTTATAAGAAGGTGTAGCGCCTGCAAGATAATATTCCTGGCACTGCTGCAGACTTAAATGCATTTGAATGTGTTGCCTCTTTGCCACTAACTCTTATGTAAAATATTCCTTTATCTGATGCATATTTAGGGCATTCCTACCTTCCTGTGGAGCCTTCATCTTTAGAGGCAAGGTCCTTGATCTGTTTCATTAAGCATCTTTTCACCACAGTTGAATGATCTGTCATACTCCGGTTAGTCATGGTTGTTTGGCGCTGTGATGCTTTCTGATCTGCATAGTTTCAGAAACGGAACAGATTTCCTAATGACCACTGCAGAGGAAAGAAAAGCGAAATAAGTAGGGATGCCAGGATTCTGTCATATCTTACAGAAATGCTTCATTAGTGTCCCAAGCTCTTTTTGTGTCCCTTTCTAGTTATAATTAAGCTGTTTTAATTGTCTGTTTCACAACTGTATGGCTTTATTATTTTACCCTTAAGTTCCTTGGGGTGGAAAAGGCAAAAATGAAATGAAAAGAAACCCATTGATTGAAAGTGCTTTGAAGGGTATAAAGATTTCTAGGATCATGTTTGTGTGATACAAAATAATAATCATCATAATAATTATTAACATTATTGTTTACCAGCTGTAATAATCACACATTGTGAATATATCTGGTAATTGTGAGTTCATCCATCTTGCAGAAATATAGAGGCATTGCATGATGCATTTACTTGGAAGCTAAAATTGGATGAATATAATATTGAATTTGCCTTATAAATGAGTAGCTCAGTGCCAGAGACAGAAATATGGGTAATTAAACTTTGGAGTGCCTTTCAAGGGAACTGTTTAAAAAAACAAAACAAACTAATCAATTTTGTAGGCTTCTATTTTCAGATAGTTGTACTTTAACTATCACAGAAGTAAGACTTGTGTAATTATTAATACTTCTATATTCAGAGTTGCATTTTTGCCAGTGATTGAGAATTGGAATGGACCTCTTTGTATTAAATTGCATGCGAGTTTGAGTAAGTGTGCCCATTTTATACAGGGAAATGTGACTGTAAGGTGAAAATGTTTTGAAATGCTTTGAGGAAGCACTTCTTTACAGAAAATACCATCATTTTCAATGAAATAATGAAATGAAATGAAAATTCAATGAATTTTTTTTTTTCATTTCAATGAAAAACTTCAACATGTGGTGGGAGCACTGTGTGTGTGTGTGTGTGTGTGTGTGTGTGTGTGTGTGTGCCATGTCCAACTCCTCGAAAAATTCCATCAACGGTGTCTCCGAAAAATTTTACACATGACTTGGGAAGATAGGCGAGCTAATATCAGTGTACTGGAAGAAGCAAAGATCACCAGTGTTGAAGCAATGATTCTTCAATATCCACTTCGTTGGACTGGTCATGTTGTGCGGATGCCTGATGATCGTCTTCCAAAGCTTAAACTCTATTCCGAACTTAAAAATGGAAAGCGTAATGCTGGTGGTCAACAAAAGAGGTTTAAAGACTGTCTCAAGGCAAATCTTTAAAAATGTAGTATATACACTGACAACTGGGAAACACTGGACTGCGAGTGCTCCAGTTGGAGAACAGCCTTTACCAAAGCTGTCATGGGCTTTGAAGACACTCAAACTCAGGACGCAAGGGAGAAACGGGCTAGGAGGAAGGCACGCTTGACAAATCCACACCATGATCAACTCCCACCCAGAAACCAATGTCCCCACTGTGGAAGGACGTGTGGATCCCAAATTGGCCTCCACAGTCACAGACTCATTGTTAAAACCGTGTTTATGGAAGACAATCTTACTCCGCTATGAGTGATCACGAAAGAAGAAGAAGAAGGTGTGTGTGAGAGAGGGGGGGAGGGAGAGGGACAGAGAGAAATGGAAACCCCCAAAAGAGTTGTGGGGTATTTTACTTCCCTCTATACTGTGCACAAGCCAACCGAAGTTAAGCAAATATAAGCCCTACTGAATGGAAGGCATTGTTAAACATGTGATTAACCTTGCCATTGAAATGGGCAGGATATAAGCATACTTAGCTTTAGCAGGATTGCACCCCCTATAATTATCCATAGTCTCCATCGTTAGACTTCTCACAAATCTTTTGCAAGATTATTATATTCATCATGATGCCCCCATCACCATCTTATTCTCATTTCTCATGCTAATAGCAGAAGGGCACAGTAATGAGAGCACATTTTAATCATTGACCAGTAGTGGCTCATATATTTCATTATGTCTCTCCTTTTGGCATTGTACAAAAATAGATTTTACTTTTATTGAATGATTTAAAATGCATATTACCAAAAGATATTTATGAGGAGAGGATCCGCTGCATTTCAGTAATTCCAGTTTTATAAAGCAGGGGATTTTTGGACAGCTAATTAATGACTTATATTTTCTTAATATAAACTTTTTCTGCCTGTTTCAAGTTTATTACCTTAATGGAAAGGCTGCACAAAGGAATATATTCTACCCAGGAGTATAAAATATCTGGAAGGGCAGCTATGTGGGGGTATCTGTGCTCAAAAGAAAAAAAGAAAAAGAAAGAAAAGGAAAACACTGAGAAAGCAGCATTACAAGGAGAGTAATTAATCACATATCATTTTAAAATTAGTGCTATTGGGCTTTGCCTTAGAAATCCAGTTGCTTTTGCTAGTTCCATTTAAAAAAGAAGCGCAGAGCTCACTTTAAAACCAGTGAATCATCACACATATATTGTGAATCATCACACATCAGGTCAAGCTACTGCCCAACAGGGGACCCTAGGTGGGAGGCTCAAGTGGTGCTTGGTACTTAAACTGGACATTCAGAGTCATCTTTGGCCACCTACACTCTGCATTACCAATTCTGTCTTGAGTGGTGTTAATAATAGAATGAGGCAGGCCCTTCAGATTTATGTTAAAATGCTTGCTAAAATGTTGGTTACATTCCAATATTTTATTTCAGGATTAGAGGTCATTTCATGCTACAGGGTGTGTGTGTGTGTGTGTGTGTGTGTGTGTGTACTGAAGGCTTTTTTGATATAAAGCATAATAAAACTAATGGAAAATATTGAACGTCTTCAGAAATCAGATTAATCTAACTTGGCACCATAAGCACTGCAGTATGCCAATAAGGAATGGATAATTATTGTATACGGGAAGCATATCCAATGTAGTTGTTGTCACATTTGCATTTGGGACTATGAAATATGTTTCTAATGTATTTTAAGCTACACAGGAAAAGATTAATAGCAGGCTTTACATTTCTCTTATGTGACTTTTTATCTGGGAAATACGGTTGACAGATTTATATATGAATTACCCTAGGCACTAATAATAATAGGCTATATTTAAATACATAAATATGTCAATATTTATCAATAAGGTTTTTTATTGATGTATTGATTATATTTTCTGGCAAATAAAAAAAAAGGTGGAGATTTTGGCAAACACACACATTTATAGTCTTCATAAAACTATAAAATCTTTATTTAGGTCATGTCACCACTAAACCTTATCCCTTACGGGTTACTCATCTGCCTCAGAGCCCTCCATTTTCTGCAGAAACATACCCAACTCCTTGAACCATTCCTCATAAAGCTTAGTTTCCAGACTCTAGATCATCTTGGTCACCCTCCTCTGCACACATTCTGGCCTGTCAATGTTCTTCTTAAACTGTGACACTCAGAACTGGACACAGTACTCCAGGTGTGGTCTGAAAAAGGCAGAATAGAGCAGTACCATTACTTTCTTTGACTTGGACCCTATACTTCTGTTAATGCAGCCTAGAAAAACATCTTTTTATTTTCCCTTTGTTATGTAAGTAAGGGAATGATCACCATATTTTAATCACTTTGGGATTCCAGTTGCCCTGTGGCCTTACAAGGTATTCTTGCATAACCTCACCACAGCAAAATTTCCATTCTAATTAGAGATTGCTAACTGCAAAGCCAGTTCATCATTTTATGACCAGGAATGTACTGTGCTTTGCACAGTGCAATGCTATTTTTGATACATTTTGCTTGTTGATTCTAGATCCAGAAAAGCTGCTAGCTTTTGTTGGATCAACATCTATTGGTGAAAGGATATGCATGCTCCAAAGTTGCTAAGAATTAATCATTAGGAATAAAACGCCCATTGAGTCACATTCTGACAGCCAGCAGACAAAACTGTGTTTTCTTAATCTTGCTGTATTTTGCATCACAAAACCATCAAATAACATTGCATAAGAAACAAATACCCTTTCTAAGATTGTTACTGTATATAGTTTAACTTCACTGTTTTAAGGATACGTTAATGACATGCTTTCTTTTTAAAAAACAAACAAACAAGGAATGCTTCTACCTTAAGATGGAATTATTTTCATCTTGAATATGGCTGAATTGAATTAGGTTGAATTATTTAGATCAACATACTTACTATTTTGGTTTACTAAAATACAGTCTTGATAAGGGAAAGGCCTGCCAAACTACCCATGAAAGACACCTAAGTCAGTTTTTACTCCTTGCATACCAGAACAGGCATAAATTATTCAAGCAGTAGCTCTATTCATCTTTTCCTTATCAGACCATCTGTAGAGAGTTAGCAGGTGCTACGTTTGGAGCTTTGCTTCTACCTTGAATAGCCACCCTGCACCCTAATTTGCAGAATATGGAAGTTTTGTGTTGTACTGAGTATTTGCAAAACACAAGTCTCATTCTGCACCCCCTGCTTTGTTTTGCAAAACAACAAGGAATACTGCTATGCAAAACATCTGTACACTTTTTTTTTTTGCTGTTGACACAGGTGACCTTCTTTTCATATTCTCCTAGGCTTTAAAAATATTTTTATATTTGCATTTTCTGTTTTCTTGACCTCATTAAATGTAGACATGAAAGGCAATAAAATTAATCATGTGACTTCCTTGGGAAATGTACTTTGCTTGCAACTTGTGTGTATAAGTCTACTGACAGTCTTAATCAAAGGATTTGTGAGTAAGAGCCAGAATTCATGTAGGCTGCAGTCTTATAGCCACTTACTTGGGAGTAAGCCATACTGAACTCTGTACGCTAGACATGGATTGCAGTACAACGTTTTCTTGGTCTGAGGAAACTTCGTTATTTTGGGAGGTTCTTTATTCTATTAGTTGTATACATTTTGCAATTATGTATTGTTGTTAAAGGTAGATATGGATATGCTAAGTAAATATTTGAGTTGTTTGGATCAGAAAGTGATTATTTTGTCCAAGAAATTATAACTGCGCTTTTAAAATTGATGAGCCATCTGTTGCAGAATATGAGCACTGATTGCAAAGTGTTTTGCAGGTATCCCTTGCCACACATGCTAATTCAGCAAGTCCAGTGGCTCATGCAAGGGGAGGTCTCCAGTTTCCACTTATTTTCTCCCCCAGACTCATCATTTTTGTGTCTTCAGTATAGGAACCAAATCTGAAAGATGAGCAGTCTGAAAACGGAATAATATTTCAGAAATTCAGCCCTGACAATAATCACTGTCAAGTAATTCTATTTTTTAACATTGAATTTGTGCCACCTATCTATTTTCTTAGCATGGGGGGCTCATGCCCAATTATATGTTACGTTATGGATTCTCCATAAAACAGGAGGCTGCCAATGTGGCCTCCCTCCCCCCCCCCCGGGTGCACAAGACCCTGTAGAGGCTTCCCCTGGTGCCCACAGTGTCCCCTTGCCTCACTGAAACTAGACTTTGAAAGAAGCATCCTCTTGTAGTTACTATAATAGGTTGTGTTGTCTGCTTGTTTGCAGTACAGTGGTACCTCAGGTTACATACACTTCAGGTTACAGACGCTTCAGGTTACAGACTCCACTAACCCAGAAATAGTACCTCAGGTTAAGAATTTTGCTTCAGGATGAGAACAGAAATCGTGCAGCAGCGGCGCAATGGCCCATTAGCTAAAGTGGTGCTTCAGGTTAAGAACAGTTTCAGGTTAAGAACAGACCTCCAGAAATAATTAAGTACTTAACCCAAGGTACCACTGTATATGTGTGGTTCTCATCTGTTTGCAAATGTGCCCACAGGCCCAAAAATGTTGGCAACCCCTGAGGGGGGTAGAACAACCATTGCCCTCCATATGTTTTGGACTACCACTTCCCAGCAGCTGGGGCAAATGGAGGACAGTGAAAGGGCTAAGGTTGCTATGGAAGAATCTTGTATTACTTTACCAAAGGCAGATCATAATTGGATTATTTCTGGTCACCCATACCCCAATCCTTTGCAAATAATGTGACATGAGCTCTGTAATTGTTTTTCACTCTTGGTTTTTC